GTACCCATAGGTGTGACTACTTCCCCTACCCTGGGGCAGGTAATTTGCATTACAATGTAAGGTGGGAAGAGAAGCCAGCAGCTTGAGCTGCTGCTACTTCTCCCTTGCGCTCTTGCTCTTTGCCACCACCATGAAAGGTTGCTTTCTGCTCTGTGCTGCTCTGCCTTGGACTCAGATGAGTATGGACTGAAACCTCCAGTAACTGAGCTAAATAAACCTTTCCTTCCTTCATTTCGAGTGTCGGGTATTTGTCCCAGCAACGAGAGAAAAGTAACTAAGACAGTAATGTCTTCCTGGAGCACTGTTGCACAAACCTCAGAAAGAAAGGATAGATGCTCAACTAGCAATGTCTGCATGGGCAAAAATGGCAGAGCAGGGAGCACTTCATACCTCAGAGGGAGGCAGAGCAAGCAGAATTAGGGGATGGCGGGGAGCAGGCTGGTGAGAGGCGCTACAGAAACAGAAAGGGTTTTTTTTTTTCCTCTATTCAGCCCTGTGAACTTGCTTCCTCCCCAAATTGCCAGGACAATATCTGCATCTTGTATGTCAAGCCTCTGAGACACATCTACCCAGCTGTCCAAAACCCTGCACTCCTTATGGGATGCCACAGATCCTGGGTGAACTTTGGCTCATGGCCTGGCTCACCTGGATGTCCAAGTTTGCTCCCGCATCAATCAACATCTGGACCATGGCCTCGTCCCCTGCGGCACAGGCGTACATCAGCGGCGTCATGCCCTGCATGAATCAAAGGCGGATGCTAGACCCAGCACATAGCCCATAGGTCTCTGCCCCAGGAAACCTGGACGCAGCTTCTTCCTCCATCCAGCTGCTCCTCCCCACCCCCTTTCCTCCTCCTGTTTCCTGGGCCCCTGCATGCAGGACACCCAGCGGGTAAGCAGGGGACATTTGCCCAAACACTGCAGATGGCAGAGGGGTGGAAAGCACAGGCCCTGCAGCCATACTCAGCCATACTCAGCTATGATGGCCACCTCTGCCACAGGTAACTGTAAGCTTTGTACAGAGGCCTCAGTTTCTTGTCTGTGAAGGGAGAACAGTGTCTGCTTCACAGGCTTGCCTGTGAGTTAACACGTGTAAGTGCCTGTGTACAGAGCAAGCTAACGAAATAAGATACTACCACCTGTGTCACCAGTTACCCTGTTGTATACCAAGCTATCGTAGGCCTGTGCCTGGAAATCTGCGGTAGGAGATTGACATGCAGTGTCTCAAACCCTTGTGCTATTCCTGCATCTCACAGGTGAGGAGCAGAGATGGAGAACTAACTGCCCAAGGCCACAGGACTAGCAAGAGGTGGATCTGCACCAGGCCCCTGGCCCATGGAAGCCGTGGAGCCCATGCTTTGGGGGTATCACCCAGGCGAGGGGAGCCTTTGGCCAGTGTCCTGTGTTGCTGAGCCATCTGGGGCTTTTCCGGAAGCCGCATGCCACTCCCCCCAGGTGGGGGGGGGTGGTCCAGGGCGGCTCCTCAGCTGAGTCTCCCAATGGCCTATGACAGCACAGGTGGGGTGGGAGGCACCTATTCCACAGTTGGATCCTGGCAAGGGTGTGTCCGGGCTGGTGTTCTGCGATGATGTTATTTATTGGGTTATGTGTGTGGAGACAAGATCTCCTTAACTCATAAATCCTTGTCTAGTGCTCAAAGATAAAGAAATTGCCTGAACTTCATCATGGGGCAGAGGACCGTTTACCTGCACAGCAGGCTATAAACACCAAGGGGCTGGGAGCAACAGGGTGGTGCGTTCAGAGGATAGCCAAGGGCTGGAGGACCAAGCTGGAGCTTTGTCTTATCCTTGTGGACACAGTTGAGTCCTTTCTTTGTATAAAATTCAGACTTTTAACGGGGCTGTGAGCTACAAGTGTGGGCTGTGCTCTCGGCTGTTTCCATCTCTACTCTGGGTGAAGAGAGGCCCATGAAGCTACAGAACACATGATGTCGGGTGTTCTGCAGCCTCGCGGGCCTCTATCTTTGAACACACGTTGGGGATGTCACCGTCATGTGTGTACGGACAGCACAAACCAGCTCAAGCATTCTTGAGCGTTTACCAGCTACCAGATGAATTCTCACGAGAACACCCCAGGTGGCTGGTAACCCCCAGCCTACAGGGGAGAAAACTGCGGCTCTTTGGAGGGAGGGCGGCTTGTCTATGCTGCGGGGGCCTTGCTGTCATCCACGGGGAGCCACACCTGCGCTGACTGAGGGGCCTGTGTGAGATCTGCGTCCCAAGGCCCCTCCAACCCTGCAGTCTCCTGGGCTCAGCCCTGCCCGGGTCACCCCCTTTCCTGGGAATGCCTCCTACCCCTGCCCTTCCTCAGGCTAGCTCCACCCCTGCAGCAGGAGGCTGCCAGCCTGGGACCCTCTGGCTTCACGTTAGCATGACATTGCTCCGGCACTGCCTGTCATCCTTTATAAAATGGCCAAAGTAATTGTTCCACTGGGCTATTCTCATGAAATAAGTAACCTGTGTGCACCACTTAGAACAGTGCCCGGAACATGGTACATGTCGTGTACTAGCTATTCAGTAAATAATTCAAACACAAAAGTTCAAGCTAAATACCACCTAAAATTGCCAGTCATCTCCCATGTTTCTTACCCTTCATCCTGAGGGGCACCCTTTGCCCCTCAGCACTTTACATGAACAAACTCTACATTTTATTTGTTCCTTTTTGCTTTGTGGTACTGCAGATTGAACCCAGGGCCTTTATATGGAGCTGTATGGCTAGCCCTAATTTTTTAAATTTTGGGACAGGGTCTTGCGAAGTTGCCCAGAATCCTGGGATGCTGAGTGTGTGCTTTTGACTGTCCGTTTCCTCACTAGAATGCGAGCTCCAGGAAGGCAAGGTCTCAAGGCCTGGCACAGGAGGCGCACGGCATACTCCTGCATGTTGGCAATTACGAGCCATAGCTCAATGCCAGGTTGACACCTCCGGACCCTCTCACCCTTGGCCATCCGGGGCAGTTGCCAGCCCTTCAGCCAGGGGAATCCACAGCACTGAGGCTGTCAAGGGGTCCTGGGGAGTTCTGAGCTCACATTCTTCCTGCATCAGGTGGGAGCTAGCTCACCATGTGGAGGCACAGGGCTGTGAATGTCTCAGGTTTAGGACCCAGGGACTCTCCCTGTGGCTCCAGCACTGCGGATTCCTGAGTCAGGTCCCACAACCCTCCCCGCCTAGCAGAGCTCTGGGAAATCACCTGGTCATCCATGGTGTTCACGCCATCGGGTCCCAGGGCCTCGATGGCCTGGCTGATGAGATCTGTCCGCCCACAGTTGAGCATGCGGAAACCCAGGTCCTGATTGAACTTTTCTGTAGCAGCGCGGGCATCCAGCCTCCGGAAGGAACTGAAACAGCACTCGGGTCTGCCCAGGAGAGACCGAGAGGTGTGTGAGTGTGACTGTGCCCCAGAGACCTGGGCTGATGTGTGCAGCGAGGATGGCCAGGATGGGGAAGGACTGCGAGTTGTGTTCACATCAGCCAGTCTCCGACATGAACTACCATGCTGCTGCCTTTCTATAAACAGGCTGAGGAAGTGTGTTGAGCTCTTTGGAGCTGTCACTTGTTAGGAACCAACCCCCAACTAAATAACCTATGGGGACAGGGCACCCTGAGAAGGAGACAGCCCGCAAGGCACCCCGGCACTGGGACGCTGCGTCCCCACTGTAGGGAGCAGGCCGCGTCTCTGCCTAGGGAATGAGCAAGGTGACCACAGTGTAGGTCTTGCCTGTGTCTCTCTCAAAGACTCCCTTGTAATTCCCAGAAGTACCAAAGCCAGGGAGAAAGAGGCCTAGCATCCCACTTGTCGTTGACCCATGCTACCAGGGACAGTCAGATAAGATCTGTGTCTCTGGAGGGTGCACAACAGACATCAACAGGTGGCTTCTACCTAGGTCTCACAGTGAGGCATTCGTCACGCAGAGAGAGAAGGTTGCACCTGGGGTCTGGGTAAAGGTCAAAGTCAGACCCACGGCCTTCATGGTCCAGGGCTGGCCAGAGAGAACATCTGGGAAGGGCTTCTGTTGGAGACCACAGGAAGGGACCCCATGGGAAGGAGTGAAGCGTGCTGGCTTGGGGACTGTGAGCACCAGGGCTCAAATAGGGACACAGTCAATTTGCCAGCTGGCCGCCTATGGGCCAGCTACTATTCCTCCCTCATCTGCAGCCTCTTTATCTGTCATGTGGATGTTAAGAGTCCCTTCTCTAGCACTGTCACGGGGACTAACACATAAAAGGAAGGGCTCATCACAGGGTCAACCCCCAGGCAGTGCTCAGGGATATGGTGGCGATTATAGGCACAGAGGAGGGGGGGCCACATCCGCCTCTCCCTGTATTACAGAGTCCCACAGTGTGAGCTCTGTGTCCCCCAAGCCTGCACGTGCAGCTGCCCTGTGGCTCACACAAGACCGGATGGATCCAGACTGGACTGGTTACAAGCCTGAGCCTTGGTGTTCACAGAGGACCCCTTAGAGCAGTTCAGAGGTACTGCATCCCCTCGCTGACTGCCCCCCTCACCAGGACTGGGAGGAAACTGAGGGAAGTGGGCAGAGGCTGCACACGGTGCCTGCCGCCCGCCCGCCTTCCTCCTCTGTCCCTTACTTGAGCTGTCGGGGCTCGCAGTCCAGGCCTGGCAGCAGCAGCCGGGCCGCCTGCCGGATGTCTCCGCCGTCCACGGTGAGGCTGCGGCGGTGCTCGGCGTAGGTGATGGCCACACGCATCCACTCCATCAGCGGCGGCAGCAGCATGAAGGGCCTGAGGGCAGCAGAGAGAAATCAGGCTGAGCGGGGCGTCACCTAGAGGGCGGAGGGCCTCAGGAAACGGCCCTGAGGCTCTCGGCCTGTGAGGAGTGGAGGGGACGGGTTCTTCCACTCAGGAAGATCCCAGCTTGTGCCCTCGCTCCTCGGAAACCTGCTCCCAGATCTGGAGGACTCTGGTCATGTGATGTGGCCAGTGAGAGAAGGGGCTTCGCAACACTACAGCCAGGCCTCCTGTCCTCTCCCAAGAATTCAGCTTGGAGCTGGGGTGTTCTCTCCGCAGAGGGGAGGCAGTGTCCCCTGGGCCCAAAGAAGAGTCTCACAGACCCAGGCTCAAAGGCACCCCTGTTTCTGGGGGTCCACTGTGTGGCAGACAGCTGTCACTTCCTCTACTGGAAGGGGGCTCACGGGGCCTCTGACTTCCCAGGCAAGGCAAGGGTTTCCAGCCCGGTACGCAGGCAGGAGTAGCAGCCTTAAGTCCCAGAGAGAGGAACCATCCCAGGTGGGACAGGCCTGTGGGACACCAAGACCCATGGGTGGTGCAGGACAGTTACCCGGGAGCAAGGAGAGGCTGCCAGTACCAGGTCAGGGCTGCAGATTCCAGGGGGGCGCCTGTGAAAAATCACTCTGTGTGCCGCTAGGGGGCACCGTTCCCGCAGAATGGGACAGCGCCCCTCCCCCTTCCCCACCAACTCTGGGACTCAGCGGGGAATACGGTCCACTGCCTACTGATGACTGATTCTTCTTGTCCTCTGCCCAAAGTAGCAAGTCCCGTATGGTGAAAGCCCCTTGGCGGAGGGCTTCACAGGCCAACAGATCTCACGGCCCGACAGTCAGTCTTTGGCTTCATGACTCCATGGGCACCCAGCCGGCTCTGCCCAGAACGGATCAGAATGGATGCTTCTCTCGTTCCTTCGACCAGGTCCCAGGGAGAAGGCACCCTGCCGCTCACTGCTGCTGGTGGCTCTGATGACAGCCCATGTCGGCCCCCTATCTCCTGCGTTCCCAGACCTCCCTGATGCCTCATCCCCCGGCCTTTCATTCTAACTAAGCCAGGGAGCGGCGCCAGGACAGGGCAGGAAACCTCCGCTTCCTCTGGTACCCCGGGCCTAAGCTGTCGCTGCCACCTTTTCCCTCAGCGCAGGGCTGAGTTCACCAACCAGCGAGAGGACCGGGAGGCCCTCCTCAGCTGCTCTAAGCAGCCATAGGTGGTCCACACCTGCCCTGATGGCTCATTTCAGGTTCCCAAGCTTGAGGTCATCCTCACAATTTAATGAGACAGTCTTACTATGTAGTTCAGGCTGGCCTCACATTCACAGCGACCCTCCTGCCTCAGCATCCTGAGTGCTAGGATTAAGGTGTGAGCCAGCACATTGGCTTCATCCTTATAATTTTAAGGGTTTTTTTGTTGTTGTTGTTGTTGTTTTTTTAAGGTAAAGCATTCTTTCACTTAACAACCAAAAGCCCCAGAATAATCAGATGTGGTCTGGAAGGTACTCATTTCAGAAGTTATTCTGATATGGTGGTTTTCTGTCCCTGCAGAAATGTTCAAGTTCTTTAAGTGGTCCACTGTGGGTAGCAGTGAGTGAGGGGAGAGGGCCGGCTGGGGAAGCCTCCCTGGCCTTCAAGGGTGCCAGGAGCTCTTCCCACTATCACCAGCCAGGCCAGTACCTATCACCAGCACCCAGACCACAGGGCTGCAGGCTTTCCAGCTCCCCCTGCCCACTGCCGTCTCCTCCCTAGCAAGATCAAGTCTTCCCTCTGCCTGTCTAGATTCTATTTAACCTTCAGGGCAACTCTTTCTGGAAGCCAAAAATCTCTTCCTGCTTCAAGACTGCCACAACACCCCACAATTCTCTCTTCCAGCAATGAATGTGTCCCATCTTGCTGCTGAGTCCATTTCTTCTAAGGTCAGGAATAATGTCTTCCATGTCTCTGCTTTCTTGAAAATACACTCAGCTTGGGGTCGGATACAAGAAGCTTTCAATAAACATTTGCTGAATGATTAAATGCATGGGTGAGTATTGGTAATCAAGTATAATATACCCAGATTTTCACTCATGGATGAGGCCATGTTTCTACCCAGAAAAATGACATCTAATTTTCAAGGGTACAGTACTGACTCATGAGAGCGGTGTGGTGGACACCAGCTGGTGGTCAGCTTGTTACACCCAGCTGAACCAAACTAGCATGGTGCTGGGTGTGTGGGAGGCCCACCTGAGGATGGCTGCCAGCAGCATGAGGCAGAACTGGAGAAGAGCTGGGACAGGCTGCTCGGGAAGCTGCTTGGGAGCTGCTGGTTCTCCTGGGCTATTCTGGGTGACCTCACCATGCTGGCTTTCCTGGTGAACTTGGCTATTTTTGTCTGAGGAAGAGCTTGGAACCTTGTTATCCCTGAGAATGGCTATGGTTCATTTTGGGGGAGCTCTGGTCCTCACCTTGAGCATCGCTTCCTGGCTCTGGAGGGGAAGATGATGCACAGCGCAGCCTTCTGGAGAAGACAGCCACATTGGCTTTACTGATGGGAACTCAGCTTTCCTCACTGCTGGAGGAGCTTGGGACCTCGCTGTTGCTGAGCATGGCTGTGGTACTTTTGGGGAGCTCTGGTTCTTACTTTGAGTGTCACTTTCTGGTTCCAATTGAGATCACTAGCCTGTGAGCACAGATCCCTCATCCCTGGCAGACTTTCCCAATCAGTGCAGATCTGTGAAGCAGACCTGAGTGAGACTTTGTCATGGGCTGTAGGTCTCCAGTTAGACTTGAGGGAGGCCTTGTTATGAGCTCCAGGTCTTCAGCTGGACTCTAAACAGGATATTAGGATCCAGGGCCCGAGCTGGATTCTTTGGTTTTTAGTGTGGACAGATTTCCTGCACTCGTTGTATATGATTCTTTGGGTGACTATGATAAAACAATCTTATAAAATGTGTGCCCTGCATTGTATTTTTCCTCTTGCAAAACCCCAAACCATAACTAATGGGAAGCTAAGATTTGATGGGGGAATTTGTGTAATCTAGGAAGGGAAAGCAACCCAGTCATGAACTATTCCTCTGTTTATAAGCTCTCTTCTTGGTTAGAAATGCTCATTTTTGCAAATATCTTTGAACTTAGGCAAGCGCAGAGAGAACCTTCTATACATCAATTCTTCTAAAGCAAGGAAAAGGTTTCAGTTAAACCATCAGTGTTACAGATGGATGTGTAAATAAAAAGATAATTCATAGATCTGTCAGCCATTCTCCCCCGCTGTGGCCAACAGCCAAAACGAACCAAGTGCCAAGTGTGGCTACTAGGCATCTCCCAGCTGCACTAGGGGAAATCCAAGAGGGAGTGTGGGAATCATGAAGCCCAGCCAGATGGTGTCTGGATTCACTCTCCTGTTTCATGTGCCTTAGAACTTAGCGCGTGAAAAAAACCCAGTAGAGGCACCCTCGGTGAGCATATACCAAGGGCTGACTCGTTGGCTCCATTCTACCATTATGCTCAGAGACTGGACAGTTGAAAACTACACTTCCCAGACTCCTTTGCAGCTAGGGTTCTAGATGCAAGTTAGATTTCATTGTTATAGAGGCTGCTCCAAGAGATCTGGGAAGTAGACCTGAGGCTGAGGCCACTTTTGTGTCCATTCTGTTTTTGCAAATAAGTCATAAAAGCATAAAGTATTTTTTGTTGGTTTCCTACAGAACTTCTAGTGTCTGGTTTCCACCTTCTGGGTGCTCCTGAGACAGAAGTGGTAAAAACAACAGCAAAGACATCTTGATTCCAGCTCAGGGGTATGTGTTCAAACTCAGGGAGCAGCGCTCCTCACCCACGGACAAGCTGTTGTTCTTGCAGCTGCTCCTTGAGCCCTTTCTGTGGTTCTGTTAGTCCCTGCTTCCCTGCATTAAATCCCTTCCCGTTCAAAATACCTAGAGGGGTTTCTGCTTCCTGAACTGAATGCTCCTGAGTTAATATTTTCATTATAATTTGTTGTTGTTGTTGTTTGTACTGGGGATCAAACTTGATCTTGCTTGCCAGGCAGGCGCTTATTCCACTGAGCTCTCTCTCCAGCTGATTAATATTTTCAAACACAGAAATCCAGATCCTCTCTGCCTCGAAGGTGGTCTCCCTGCCTAACCCACCTCTTCAGGCCCTATCTTTGGCCCTCCCACTCCCTCGCCTCTGGTCCTCCAGTAATTAGTGGTAAACAACACATGGGCTTCTCAGTAACACCCACCTCCTGGGCTGCAGGTTTGGATTGTTTCCTTTCTCGTAATGTCACCAAGCCCCTCTGTGGGCTTGCTGAGGAGAGCTGGCCTGCGTCACTGCACATTCTGGAAAATCCCTTTGAAAACTCCCTCCTGCAGTGGCTGTCTGTGTCCTGACTGTGTGGTGGGTCGGGGGAGGGAGGCCGAGGCCAACTGATGTGTGCACTTCCCCTGGGGTCTCTGCTCTTTCCCGCCCAGAGAAGAGGCCGTTTCCCAGTTTGCCACTGTCCTGTCCCTTCGCTGAGCTTGGCTGCCAGCCTTTCCTCACCAGAACGTGGATGTCTGAAGGGCCAGGGTGGGGAGCCCCTTTCTTCAGCCCTTGGCCCTCTGAGTTTCCTTTCAGCTGTGTCTCCTGCCCAAGAGTAGTGGTGCTCTGGTATTTTTGCCCTCAGGGCCATTTTTATATTCTTAAAAAATTACTGACAGTATCCAAGAGAGTTTGTGTGTGTGATCCCATCAACACCTTATCCAAACATCAGAACCAAGGAGATGAGAATGCAGGAAGATGCAAACTCACATCCCACTGGCTACGGCATGACATCCTTGTCACGTCACACGGTCTCTGGAAACCCAGGAAAAAATCAGGGAGGGAGGGAGGAAGACAGGGAGGGAGGGAGGGAGGTAGAGGAGGGAGAGAGAAAGGGAGAGGAGGAAGGGGGAAGGGAATGGGAGTGGAAGAGAAAGGGAAGGGAAGGGGGAGGCCAATGGGAATGGGAGTGGGACAGAAAGGGGAGGGGAGAGGGAGGGGGCGGGGGAA